TTTCTGACTGATTCAAGGAACTCATACAGGCTGAAGCAGTTAGGATTATTTTTAATCAGTCCGTATTGTCTGGGATTTAAAAGTTTAAATTGAAAAGAAGGAGGAAAGAAAAATCTTTTGTTATAGATTTCCTCGAGATTCGGGCATCTAAAGAAGAAAAGAAAATCTTTTAACAAAAGGAAAGAGTTTTGAGGATGTGACTTCAGAGTAAAAACAAGTTTTGTTTAAAAAAAACAAAAAAACAAAAACAAAGGAAGAAGAAGACGAAAAGTCTAGGTTTTTGAACAACAATGGTGAAAGCTACTCGAAGTGGGTTGATCGGCCGGAATGGTGGTGCTTCAACTACTCGAGATGATGGTGCTCTCAATCGCCCACAGCTGATTGATGAATCGCGTGACTCAGAAGCTACTCCTTCTCCTGTTTAGACTCTTGTGCCTTACGAGTTGGACTCAAGTGCTTCTTCTGTCTCGGATCCGGTTGCCACTCCACAAGCTGACATCGGTGAAGCTTCTGCATCTGCTTATGCGTCAGCTCAGGACCATCCTACTGACGAGGAATCAACGCCGGTGTCTCAATCTGAACCAGTTCCAATTTCAGTCGAAATTCCAGAAGTTGATCCAACCATCTCTTTCCAAGATCAGTTTCAACAGCAAGAGATGAAGAAGAGACAGCATCCAGAAACAAACGCAGCTGAGTCTTCCAAAAAGCGACGAATTAAGAAAGGTATTTCTAAATCTCCAGGTTTTGATTCCTCAAGATTTGTGTCTCGTGCTGCTCAGTTACGATATAATAGCTTCATCTCTCGTCGGCTTATTCAAGAACGTCGTGTTGATGTTCTCAAAGAGGATACTTGGGGTTATTGTCAGAAAATTATGGATGTAGGTTTAGAGGAACTCGCTTTTGAACTAGCTGATTATGTCAAAGCAATTGTGTGTGAGTTTTATGCTAATCTTCCTTCTGAGGTGTCCTCTTCTGGTGTTCAAGTGTTTGTTCGGGGTCAGATATTTGAGTTTTCTCCAACAGCTATTAATCGTGCATTGCTTCAGAAGCCTCTGACTAAAGCAGAACGTCGAGCAGATGCAGCTGCTAATGATGTTGCAATTGATCAGGTTGCCAGAGTTCTTAGTGGAAAAGATAAATCTAACTGGAGAGGTTTAAGTGTCAAGAATTTACCTGCTGGAGTTGGAGCATTGCTTATGATTGCTGCTTACAATTTGGTTCCATCCTCACATAAGAATCATCTTGCTGAAAAACGGGCCAGGGTAGTTTACAAGATTCTTCAAGGTATTCGGTTTGATGTAGGTCAGCTGGTCTATGAACAAGTCATGGCATGGAATTCAATTCAGAATGATGATAAGCGTTGGCTGATTTTTCCAAGGGTTATCACTGAGTTGCTGCTTGTACAGGGCGATATTCATAGTGAAGATGAGGACTTTATTGTTGCTGATGACTATGTTAAAGATCCTCGCACTGGTGAAGCTTATGCTAAAAATTATCCTGCTGATGACAGTTTTGGTTGTTCTCCTACCTCTGAGCGAGTTGGTCCTGGTCGTGATATTGATGTTATTCAGCTTGGTGAGATTCGTCTGCCTCGTGGTGGAGATGGCAGTGATGCAGCATCTTATGCGGCTTTGGTTGATACGGCTGGTGTTCTGAAGAGACTTTCTGATGACGTTCTGAGAAAGCTTACTGAAGTTGTTGATCGACTGATTCAGAATCATCCTATGTCCAAGAAAGCTTGATTTTGGTTTTTAATCTGTGTTGTCTCAAGCAGGGGGAGAAGAAGCATTGATCATGGGGGAGTATTGCTAATTACCAGCTGTTTGATCATGGGGGAGTTTGAATCTTAAAGTTTTTTTGATTTTGGGGGAGTTTTAGTTTGACCTTTGCAATTTGCTTCAGTGTGTTTCAGTTTCAACATTTTGAGATGAACCCCAGTTTGTTTTAAGACTTCTTTGAATTTCAGAGTATCTCAAAGTATGTCTTGGCTTAAAAACTTTTGTAGTACAAAGATCTAACATACAAATGCTTGAAGACTACAAGATTAAAAAGGGGGAGATTGAAGATGCAGTCTGAACAACAGAGTGTACTAATGCAGTGACTAGTTCAGAAGACTCAACGATAGAAGAAACAACAAATAAGGAAAGAGAAGAAAGGCGGTTTGGCTTGGGCACAAGACAAAGAAGAAGTGTCTAGAAGCATCTGGAAGCGTGAAGACTTTACTCTTATAAGAATAAAAGTAAATTAGAAGAGTTGGATAACTTCCTAATTCATAAAGAAAAAGGAAAATATCCTAAAGCCTATTTAGAAGGAATAGGAATTTCCTGTTGTATGGAGATGTCCTAGTTCTATAAATAGGGAGCCAAGGCTTGAAGAAAGTTTGGCACAATTAAGAGAAAGAGATTCTTGCAATAAGCTTTAACTTGAGAGAAAAGAGAGTTGAGAGCTTATCGAGTGCATAGGGTTTCTTTGAAGTGATTCTAAGATCAAAGTGTGTGATCTTAGAAAGAGGGTCTTTGAGAGATTAGGAATTTGTTTAGGGAAAATCCCATTGTAAACAGAATTTCTATATATCAAAGATAGCGTTTTGAGAAACCCAGTTTTTACTATTCTGATCTAGTTCAATCCATAAGACTCTTGCTTTTACACATAATACGTACCCCATATTACGTATAAATATGGACATTATAATGAAAGTTCATTAATTATTGGGTTGTTGTTGGTTGTGAAGCAATTTACTCACAGTTCTTTACTTAACATTTAATGTTTAAGAGCGATATTAATGAACTTTTAAAGAACACTTACCAGCTACTGACAGACAAACGTGGATGGACCAAAAGAAATTGGAAAATAAACGGCTTAAATGATAAACGTCTATGGACAATATAGGAATTCCACCGTATAGACAACATTTTATTGTATGGACATATAACCCTATAGCAAAAATTACATATTGATATTTGCTTGTTTGGTGTAAACCCTTCGTTTAAAAGCGTTTGTTGATGGTTGATGAGAGTCGACAAATAAAGGCGTATGCGAACTGGATTAAAAACGTTTATAAAATTATACATAAAATGCGTGATGAAAATAACTGGATTGAATTAAAAACTATTTAAGAAAGGAACAGACATTGATAATAAGGATGACAAGTTCTGGGTTTTACTGGTTCCAAGAATTATGCCCATGAAATATAGAAGTGCCATACATAAGGCATTTAAGTTTATTTGCCTTAATTACGGGGAACTAGGCAAAACAGTGAAAAAAGAACCACCGCAACTGTAGACATAATAAGAAGGACAGATTTAATACTTGTAAACATCGTAGACCTCTTGAGGCGTAACTCCGCCATAAGTTCATGGAAAACTAAGGTCAACTCGTTGATTTGGGCGTCATTGTTGTCCACTACTATTTTAAGATGATGAATGTCTCCGTCGTGCATCATCACTCTGGACCACATCACGGTGGGGGTCAACGTTTTCACCATTGTCATTTCGGTTCATACCTTCGATGAGTGCTTCGTGAGCAGATACAAGTTTCTGGACATCTTCAAGCTCGTCCGTCATAGCTTCGTCCCACCACTTGAAAGTATGATACTCGTCGTCCTGTAAAAGAGCATAGCCATAGATTTGGGTATGAAAAACCAAATAAAGCATATCCATAGATAAATTAATAAACAAAATACATAGATACTTAAAAATAAAAAAATACATATCCATAGATAAATAAAAATAAAAATAAGATTTGGTTTGTTTTTTGTGTTAATTAGTAGACCCTAAGTACATGTTAATCAACCCAATATATATCTAACAAGAATGTGGCTTTTGAGTAATTATTTAACATTTGAGTTGTTTTTTGTGTGGATTTCTATACCCTAAGTACATGTTATTCAACCCAAGCTAAATATATAAAGAATGTGGGTCTTTTAGAAAGTTCTTGTCCATTTGGTTTGTTTATTCTCTGGATTACTGGGTCGGATGAAACAAGAAAATTGTTGTCCATTTGGTTTCTTTTTTGTGTGGATTACTATACCCTAAGTACATGTTTATCAACACAAGGTAAATCTAAAAAGAATGTGGCTTTTGATCAATTATTTAACATTTGAGTTGTTTTTTGAGTTCATTAATAGACCCTAAGTACATGTTTATCAACCCAATCTAAATTTATAAAGATTGTGGGTCTTGTTGAAAATTCTTGTCCATTTGGTTTGTTTGTTGTGTGGATTACTATACCCTAAGTACCTGTTTATCAACCCAATCTAAATATAAAAAAGAACGTGGGTATTTTTAAATTTTTTTATGATTGGTTTGTTTTTTGTGTTCATTACTATACCCTAAGTACATGTTTATCAATCCAATCTAAATCTATAAAGATTGTGGGTCTTGTTGAATTTTTTTATGATTGGTTTGTTTTTTGTGTTCATTACTATACCCTAAGAACATGTTTATCAACCCAATCTAAATCTATAAAGAATGTGGGTCTTGTTAAATTTTTTTATGATTGGTTTGTTTTTTGTGTTTATTACTATACCCTAAGTACATGTTTATCAACCCAATCTAAATCTATAAAGAATGTGGGTCTTGTTAGTTTTTTTTATGATTGGTTTGTTTTTTGTGTTCATTACTATACCCTAAGAACATGTTTATCAACCCAATCTAAATCTATACAGAATGTGGGTCTTGTTAAATTTTTTTATGATTGGTTTGTGTTTTTTTTGTTAATTAGTATACCCTAATTACATGTTTAGCAACCCAATATAAATCGAAACAGAATGTGGGTCTTTCTTCAAATTAATATATAATCCGTTTCTTATAGAGTGATTTGGGTTTTGAAGTATGTCCTTAGGGTATAATAATGGTTTAAAGCCACTAGCTTTGAGTTTTATCAATCTAAAATAATTAACGTAAACCATTTGAGACAATCATTTAGAGGAAATCAAACAATACTAAACAAATAACAATAAAAGGACAGCAAACATTATAAAGCAAGTGGACAAACAACAACCATCCATAACAGAAGATGTATAACAAGTCGTGGACAATATATCCTAAGTATTCATGGAAAAACCACAACCATAGGGACAAAGGATGTCAAGTTGACATAAAATATGTTTTTAACGCAACACGAAAGTCAACAAAGTTTGGGATGATGAGAGAGACAAAGTTTCAGCAAACAAATCTGTCGTAGACATCAATGGCGTACTTCATCCTGAAGTTGTTTACCATCTCCTTTGTTATATCATCCATTTGCAGACCTGTGCATGGAGTTCAATGAACTTGACCGAAAATGGACCACAATCACCAGTACGGTCATTTTGGGCCACATTCACCACCTTTTCATAAGTGAAAGACTCCGGCAGATCAAACTGTCCACAATCCCCAAATATGTCTTTTAAAAAGACTGGGAGCATGTCCTCTACTGGCTTCATGAACCTGGTCATCCTTTTCTGGTCGTTGTTCACAATTAGAGGATCCAAAATCTCAATTTTACCTGGTAAAGATGAATGACGAGAGTAACCAATGTCTCTTCCCCCAGTTCATAGGTAGGTATACTCTGTCCACCTTATCAAACCACATCAAGTGATGAGACCGGCTTGGAACAATCCCCCTAGCATAATTCTTGCACACACTATTCCACCTGTAAGGAGCTCGCTTGTCACGTTTTTTGAATCCGTTGTACTCATTGCATAACATACTACAGAAGTATGTATCCAAGACGGCGACCCTCATGTCCATGAATGATTCTCCGAGCTTTGACCAAACTAGAGTTAGCATAGCTTACATGTGCTACCAAAATTAGTAAATGCGTATTAGGAAAGGGAAAAAAAACAGATATTTTCAAAAGAATAACAATTTCCATAAACTTACCGGAGTGTCTACCCAATTCTGTGGAGTATATATCTCAGCAAAGAAGCTCTTCTTCACCGGATGTCCATCAATACAATACTCCCTGTTATTAGCAGGAAATATATTATAACGAATTAATACGAATTATATTATGTAAGAATTCATAGCAATTTCTTTTATGTAAATATGTACACTTACTTCCGGCGGTAAGACTCAAGTTTTGCGAGGAACTTTTTCCTTCTAGCAGCTTCAACCTTTTGAAAAGGACTGTATACGTCGTGGACAGCTTCAGGCCCTTTGCTCTTTTCGTTTGGAGTACTCCTAAATTTGATTGGGACCCTCTTTACTCGTTTTGATGGTAAAGTTAGTTCATGATTCAAGTCTAAGGAAGTTGATGACATGACTACACGTTTTAAACCACGGGTAGGTTCCTCTGGGCTAAGTGGCTGGAAAAGTTAGGGCAAAAAAATTATTTAAATTAGCATATATTAGATTATAAAGTAAAAGGCAATGAGGAGAACACTTACCTTCTCTCTGACAATGACTGTCTGCATAACCCTCTTTCCAACCTCTTCAATTGACAAATACTCCTCGGAATCCTGTGAAGCTGACTTACCTGATACGTTCTGGGGAACCTCACCATCCTCCTACAAGAGGTGACTTGGTTAAGAAAATAATTAAATGTGGTGAAATCCAATAAAAAGGGGTATAGTTTGAGGGGAATGAAATGCCTTGTCTTCCATTCCAAGACTTTGGTCTTTATCGACCTGGCAGAAAAATATTCAAAGAGTTCAGATGATGGTGGACATTTAAAACCGTTCTATGTGTCCACGTTATATGTTGTCTACGAGTCAAAACAATATTGAAGAAGTGATGAATATATAAACATTACCATCTCAAAGGGCTGGTCCACCATAATATGGTCAATGTTTTCTGGTCCACCAGCATGTGTATGGTCTGCAGCTTCTTGACCTGATGGTTTGTCTTCTTCGTCTCCAGATGCTCGTGTGTCATCTTCGTTTGCAGCTTCGTCTTCTGCGTCGTCATCTTTGTCGTCTTCGACTACATCTCCTTCATTGTCTTCTGCTTCTTCTTCACTGGATCCAGATCCAACATTATCTGCCTCTTCAAGAGACCCCACCTGAAGTTGATTTTCTTCACCTTGTTCATCGTCTTCTTCATCGGATCCTTCCTCGTTGGCTGCTTCGTCTTCAGATCCTTCCTCGTCTTCAGATCCTTCCTCTTCTTCAGATCCTTCCTCTTCTTCAGATCCTTCCTCTTCTTCAGATCCTTCCTCTTCTTCTGATCCTTCTTCTTCTTGAGATCATTCCTCGTCTTCCTCTTCCGCAGTACCACCATCGTCTTTCTCTGCCTTAGATGGTTGAACATCATGTAGGGGTTCAAGTATTGTCTGGTTTAGGGTAGATGACAGGAAGCGTTCTTGATTAGGTCCACTGAACATATCATTTACGTCCACCGGTGCAGAGTTGGTCCCCAGAGAAACGTCCCGTTCTTGTGGCTCTTGTTGGTGCAACTCAAATCCTGACATATACAGTTCTTTTGGGAATGCTTGATCCTACCAAAGGAAAGTCATTTTATGTAAATGAATGTAGTAAGAACATATGAGTGATAGTAGGGACAGGAAATAGACCACTCACCTTCTCGAAAGATGGTAACCCGCCTTGATTCGCATTGAAACGGGGATTAATGCTTGAGATGATATTGGGGATTCCTGCATAATCCTCCCACCTATGGTTAGGTTGTGTTGATCCTGAACTCTTGAAAATGAAGGTTTGGTCGTCATAACCATCTGGCATGCATTTCTCGAGCAACAGGATTGAGTGTAGTGCAAAAAGCTGGAGTGCCAAAATGAACCCGTGTGTTGCTGTGTGAGAGCGCATTAGCTTATCTACTAGGTCATCGACGTTTTTGACTTTGGAGCCAACCTTGACCATCCGCAAAGTGAGCAAGAAGGACTCGCGTCCCCATGGGTAAGAGTAAAAAGTATCTAAGTCCTTCACCATTTCCACGACTTCCGGAGACGCTCTAACCGGCTGGGAGTTACAAATGAGAATTCCCTCAACAATGACGAGAAGGGCAAGTCTCAATCTTTTGGAGCCGTGCATCCGCAAATCTTTCGGCTGCCTTTTGTCTCTTTTCAACATGGTCACAATCTCTTGGATGGTAACAACCTCCTATTTCTTACCAAACAGCTTCTGCCAGTAACTTTCCCTAGTGTTGCATAGTGTCTGAGACTTGAGTATGGTTTCTTGATCCGGGAAAGGACCGCACGGAAGCCGAGTAATGAGCGCAAATTCTCTAAGGGAGAATCTGATGGGTTGACCACCAAAGACGAACCATATTTCGTGTTGTTTATCCGTATGCAGAGAACGACATAATATATTGTGGACAAGTTTACCGGATAGAGACGACCTGCGGACCGGATAGTCCAATAAAGGACCAAATGGAGATTCTCGTATTGCTTTTAACTCCTGCGTACCATCAAGGACATCGACAATGTCCAGGAGATACTCTTTTTTTGAGTAAGAATTGATCCGACCGTTCTGAGGGTACCGGTCCGTAGCGAAAACCCTTTCTGGGAGCAATTCAGGTACCACTGCAGGGGCACTGCATGGATGGAGAGTCGTAGAGGAGGGTTCTTCTTGCACAGTTGGTAACCGCTACAAAATAATATGGACATAACATTAGGTAAATGGACAAAAATCGGACAAAATTGTGGACTTTTTTTTGTCGAGATGGACACCAATAGGCCCGTGGACACCAAAATAACCTGCTCGGGTGTGGAACTGATGTTCACCGCTCTAGTACTTCTTTGCAGGGGAGTTTGGTTTCCAGTTTGGCCGGCTTGCCTTAGGCGTGGCTGTAATTGCGAAAGATTAAAATAGTTTCGGATTGACCTGGTTGATACTGATGGAGACAAGATTAAAAACAATAATAGAACTAACCGATTGTCGACAGTTGGTCTTCTTAGCATCACCCGTAGATGGGTTGGAGGATTGACCTCTTGCGTTGACCGAAGCCTGAAAAAAGATGAAAAAATGCTTAGGGATCTCGTAGATCTGATTTTCGGCATTGTGTTACCGAAAATCAAAATCTGATAAATGTAGTAATCACCCACCGTTTGCCGAGTACTATGGAGGGAGCTTGTAGACATGCGGAGGAGGCCAGTCGAACGGGTTGACAGGTCGGTTTGTTCAGAATCGTCCATGTCTGAACCTATATGGGTGGACAATAGATGAGTTAGTATGGACATAATCTATTTAGATAAGGCAAAAACTTTGAAGAAGATTGTACCAGAGAATCATAGAAACGTTACCACTTCGGTCTCGGTCGCTTTCGAGGAGGTTGTGAACAAGAAAATAATTGAAAAGAAAGGAAAGGAATGGTAAAGTTGGGAAAGTGTAGATATTTACGGGTGGGTAGGGTAAAAAGGAAGATGAAAAGATTTGTTTTCCAAAAAATCGAAATTACCATTTCTCGATTTTTCTTTTTTTATTAATTGTAGCTGATTTTTTCTTTACTTTATCATTTTTTCAGAATACATTTCCTGTCCACGGTCCCACGTCTGGTTTATTTGCAGGTTGTGTAAGAGAGGGAAAAAACGTCCAATAAATTTGGAAAATGGTAGTTGGGCTAAGACCCATGACAAAATGGTATTCTGAAAAACCTTTTTGAATTTGATGGTATGCCAGCTAAAAATCCCAAGATTTTGTTTGATGAATGTCTTTATATCAAGAACTTGTCTTACGAAGAGGCTCAATTGTTTTTTTACTTTTTATTCGAGGTTTTGTGGAAGTTGGAGTTGGAGTTAGAATGTTTTATTACTTTATTTTTTCTCTTCTTAAAAGTCTTGTGAGAAAGTGGAGAGAAACTGAATCAATTTGTGTTTAGTTGAAGGGTTATTTGGTCATTTAACTCTATAAAAGTACACCACTAGCAAAAAGTGGGTGTGTGTGTGATAAAAACATGAGAAAGTAGGTGTAGATGCCAATTTTTTTTTTTTTATAATAACTAATGAATCAATTTAGATGGGTTATGATCGGTAAATAATTTCATCTTTTGATCATACCAGAAAAAAAGCAAATGGAAAATTTCAAAAGTTCATATCCACGAGACTATGACCATATGGTCAGTTTATTTGTATTATCAACTATCAACAATCATGCTTATATATACCAATAGTCATCTTTAGTAAATATACTCGAAGCTTGAAAAGTTTTATAATAAGATCTTAGTGTTTGCAATACATCTCCAAGTTTGTATTAGATCTTGATATATTGTGAATTTTGTTCATAATCATTTGTAAAACAGACTTTTCTTTGTACCAATCACACAATAAATATACAGATATCATACCCAAATAAACTTCGCTTCAAAGATCAACAAGACATACATCAACAATCTCGAACCATGAGCTTAGAAAACTCAATATAAAAGTAACGATTATAATTCAAAGAGAGATAGCGACGATATCCAAAATATAGAGATAAAAAATCCTAAAATTAAAGCCAATTAAATGTGAGGAACCATAAATCCAGCTGACCTAATAAGGTGGAAAGAGAGAGGAGAAGAAGGCAGATGGCTAGCCGCAACGATTGGACCGCCACCAATGACGACTACATGTTTGTTAGAAGATTTATTAGAAGAGATCATGTGTGGACGATTTATTAGGAGATTAGAGAGAGAGGAGAATAGAGAAGATATTATGGTAGAAGATTTGTTAGAAGAGATCATGTGTAGAAACTGTGATTTTTTTGGAAGAGGAGAGAGTAGAGAGAGAAAAGAATAGAACGACAACGAGAGGAAGAAGAAAGGAAAAAGAGAGTGAGTACACAAAATTAGTTTTAACCTAAAAGATGTCAGACCAATTCTTAACCACAAGATCTCCAATTATTTAGTTACGATCGAACGGCTGGTAGCGTGATACATAAACATTTTTATTCTTTTTAGTTATGTTCTCTTTAGTCTCTGAGGGTAATTTTGTCCGAATTTGACATCTACGTACAGTACAAAAGTAACCCATAAACGGTGCCTAAACTTATAAGGGTGTCAAAGTGAAAAGAAAGTCACCGAAACGGTGTCCCTACGCAACATCCTTTAGAAATCATCTGCTAACTCCTTGTTAGAGTCATTACTTTTTTTTTTGAGTTTCCATGATTTTATTATCCCATTTAATATACAGAAAAAATGAGAAGATTCCAAAGTTTTTGAAGAATAGATATAAAGTAATGATAAAAAGAAGTATTACTAATATTTGTTTTTTATAATAATTAACTAATTTCATGTCATATATGCATTAATAATTAATAGAAATGAATAAAGATAAAAAAGAAATTTTTTGGTTAAAAGATCGTAAGTATGAAAATTATATTATTTAAATTTAGGTATTAAATTACATGTTTTAATAACTATGGGTATTTTTCTTCCAAAAAAATAAAAATAAAACGTAAAATGAAAATAAATGAGCTATTTCTTAGCTCTACTAAAAATAAATCAGTATATCAAAGTCACTCAAGGTATTAACCAATGATGTCTACTAAATTTATGAGTAAAGAGCGATGAAGCTGGAGTATCCCTTATATAGTAAAAGAGAAGTTAATGTTTACATCGACCAGGTCAAAATTAAAAATTAACCCGAAATTAAACAGTTGAATATTTCAAAATCATATATTTAATTGGGTTAGGTTATAAATCGGATACTCTTCTAGATGATTATATTATTTTCATATCTAAATTTTAGATTTCCTAATATTTCTCTTACTCATTTAAAATAATAAATTAAAAAATTTTAAAAATAATATTCTCCTTTCACTTTTATTTGATCTTATTTTTAATTTATTATATTAAAATATATAATAGAAATGTAGAATAAAAATTCAAATTTTTGAATATATTACAGTTTAAATTTTTCAAAACAGATATATTATTATAAATTCATTAAGGTTCAAATCTTATTTAACTAAATTTTGGATATATAAAATGGATTTGTTAAATTATTTGGCTAAATCTAAGCGGATTGGTTATTTATTTTCATGAAATTTTATATTATACTTAATTGATAGAAAAATGTGTAAGACATACTACATCATTTATATATTTTGGACAATGGTTTTAAATCATTATAAACATGACCAATATGTTTCTTAATATGAATGAGCATGAAATTTAATTTATCCAGCATTCAATTTTGTAAAGTTTTGTCCGGATTAATAAAGTTATTTATTTGAGCACATAAAATTTCAAAATTTTTTACAATATTATAATTTTTAAATTTTTAAGTATAAAATATTAAAATCTATAAAATATTTAAATATATAAAATTTATAGGATATTTAAAATATTCGAAACGAGTCAAAATATTTTGAGCGGGTAAGAACATGATACACACCACTTAAGTTTTACAAATAAATACATTGTAATAACCAATATTACATAAATATGATTTCAGTTATATGCAAAATTGTTCGTTTGTACGGGATGAAAGAACATAACTAAATCAAATTTTGACAGTCTAACGTCCCGAGCGACATCTCTTCAGTGAACCCCATGTTCACCACAAGCCCATGGGCCCACCTCTCTTAATGGGCCTTACGTCCTCTCACTATGCCCATGACCCCATCAATATCCGACGGTCAGTTTGCTACGTCTGGGAGGCTTAAATACTTGTTTATCAACCCTACAAATCACCACATGATAATTCCCTGTGTTTTGGCCTCACTCACACAGTTCCGAAAACCACTTCCCAGAAGATCACCCATTATTTGACTATTCCAGCATAAGCACGCTTAATTATGGAATTCTATTAGGACGGAAAAGATAAGTGCACTTTAGTGACATAGGTGTCCAAGTCAATTCCGCAAAAAGGAGTCTCACAATTATCCCCTACTAATAGACCGCAACGTCCTCGTTATGTACAACGATCGTCACCCCCTGATAGTGTGATCCCACCACTCCACACTTGTCTGAGTTCAGCTCTGATACCACTTCTAACGCCCCGACCGCCATCTATCTAGTGGGCCCCATATTCACCACTAGCCCAGTTCTCTTAATGGGCCTCACGTCCTCTCACTAGACCCATGCGCCCATCAATATCCGACGATCGGTTTTCTACGTCCGGAAGGCTAAAATACTTGTTTAGCGACCCTACAAATCACCACATGATCTTTCCCTGAGTTTTGGCTTCACTCACACAGTTTTAACAATCACTTCTCAGAATGTCACCCATACTTTGATTGCTCCAGAATAAGCACTCTTAACTGTGAAGTTCTCTCAGGACTTTTGACCGAAAAGATAACTGCACTTCGGTGCCATAGGTGGCCAAAGCAATTCATTTAACCTCTCCGCAAACTGGGTTCTCACAGACAGAGTGGTTCATAAAAAATCTTATTAACAAAATATACTATTCAAATATTGATTAAATCAAATTTATAATACGAATAAGTTTTACCGATAAACTATATTATTATCAAACTATATAAATCACAGGTAATTAACGAGTTATTTTGTTAACCTCAGAATTATATGGTAGATCGAGTAATGATTAATATTTTGACGAAAGAATATTTTTAAGAATGCAATCCGTTACGATTTGGTCATTCAAAACATATATTGTGAGTATGTAATTTTTATGAATGCAATCTTTTTTAATTTTTACGTATATTACTCTTTCTACTGCAAGGCCAAACTTAATTATTTAATTATGTAGAAGGTCAAACTTAATCCTTATTGATAACTAATCCTTCGCATTGTTATAATATTCCCTGTTCTTTTTTTCTTCTATTGTATCAACTATCAAAACTCATTATGTAACCATTTACTTGTTTTTCTACTATTTTATTCAAACTAATTACATAAAATATATGTAAGGAAAAGGGAGAAAAATCTCCCAAACAATTAAATTAAAATTAAACGCAAATTCTTCGTGGAAGCGCAACTCCTCGAGCATCGGCTGCTAGAATCTCTCCAACCCCACCAAGAGCAATCTCTAGAAAATGAAGTCCCAGAGCAAGATCAAAAGCATAGTTAGCTAATCCGTCCGCAAGACGATTAGCCTCCCTATACACGTGAACAATACGGACAATCCAGTCCCTCGATATAAAGCCATGGCACAAGCGCACCAGGAAAGACAACGGATGAGCATCACTAATCCCCGTCTGAAGAAAACCCACCATAATCTCCGAATCAACCTCTAACTCGACCCGAGAAGCATGTCTATCCCAAGCCATACATAGCCCATAATAGACACCCCACAACTCCGCTAACGGGGCCGAGCAAATCCCAATATTCAGAGCAAACCCTGTTATCCACGCTCCATTCTCATCTCGGATCACCCCCTGCCGTAGCCATGCCCGGGTTTCCCCGAGATGCTCCGTCTGTGTTAATCTTCCACCAACCCGCTCCCAGAGGAGACCAAGCAATCATCCGTTCAACTCGAATAATCCCCACCGGTACGTCCCGTTGAGCAGCATTAGCCTCCATCACTGCCTTAGCCAAATCTTTCACAAATCAAACTCTATCACGACATTTACCGTTCACCCCAAAAACATTCCCGCAACGCCATTTCCATCCCCACCAAACAGCCATCCCAAATAGAGTCGACCAAGATAAGTCCTCCGTCGTCGTGTCCCTAGTAAGGTTATCATATAACCATTGTAGAAGAGGTAGTGTAAAAATCTGTTGTCTCTTCCCTCTAGGGACTATTCGCTGCCAAAGCCCTAACATAGCCGGACAGTCTCGTAAAATATGGATTATAGTTTCCTCACCCCCTTTGCAAACCGTGCATAGCGAGGACGTACACAGTGTCTCCTAAACCGTTCTGAGTTTGACATGATAGCTTTGTTGCCAACAAGCCACAAAAAAACTTTTACTCTCTCCGGAGCCACAACATCCCAAACCCGACTCCAAAACTTCTCCATATTAGGTTGCGGATCATGCGTCTCTGTTAAGAGTTTATAAGCGGACTTGACCTTGAACCGGCCATCCAGATTTTCACCCCACGAAAGTCGGTCTTTTGCTCCGGTTATGTTATCGAGCACCATCGCCCCCAACCTTAGTCTTGTATCCATCGATATGTACGGCCCAATACTCTCAAATGCCCAACCCGTATCATCACGCCACAAGTCCGCAACCCGCTCATGTTCTCGATTAACGGGTAATCCTCCTCCCATTTCCTCGAGAAGTTATGTCTTTAAAAGCCATCGATCTTTCCAAAACAGGACATTCTTCCCATCGCCCGACACCCACCTATGGCCCCTTAACACCACTTCTCACACTCCTAAGGCAATACTTACCAGCCAAGCCATGTTTCTTGTATCACCAACCTTATATTTCTTTCTCAAAACTCTTGCGCAGAGACTGCTCTGATCCTGAAGAAGGCGCCAACCCACTTTGGCTAATAACGCTTTGTTCATATCCCCAGCACTTTTAATTCCAACGCCGCCCTCAGCTTTTGGTCACACACTCGCGACCAAGCAACCAAATGCTGCTTCCTCTTCTCCGATGAACTGCCCACAAGAAGGAACGAGAAAATTTATCCAACTCATCCAATAACGCTTGCGGCATGGAGATCACACTCATGGTATGAACCGGGATTGAAGCAAGGACAGCCTTAGTAAGCGTCAGTCTACCCGCGAGGCTTAAACTCCTCTCTTTCCAACCTGCGAGCTTAGAAGAGACTCTCTCTAGTACTGCACTGAACGTTTTTTTTTTATCCTCTTTTGAAGAACCGGCATTCCACAATACTTGCCCAGATCTATAGTCGCATTGATGCCACTCTCCTCCGTGATTAATCGCTGTAAGCTTCTAGAAACATTCTTCGAGAAGTAAATCTTAGACTTCTCTAAGCTTACTTTCTGGCCTGATGCCAAGCAAAAGCGTTCCAACACACCCCGGATCACTTTAATCTGCGCTATTGAAGCCTCCGAGAACCAAATTAAATCATCCACAAAGCACATATGAGATAACAATGGTTCTCCTTGAGATAGTCGAATAGGTTTCCACTCTTTTCTACCTATTGCTCCCTCAATCTGGTGACAAAGACGTTCAAGGCACAATACGAACAAGTACGGTGACAAAGGATCACGCTGCCTTAATCCACGCGAGGGCATGAATGGCTCTGTTCTCTCACCATTCCACAAAATATTCATGGAGGGTCTTGTAACACATGTCATAATCCACTTTACCCACATATCCGACAACCCTGCAGCAGTAAGAGTGTCTTCTAAGAAATCCCACCTAATACGATCGTATGCTTTTTCAAAATCAAGCTTAAGCAACATCCACCCTTTCCGACCTTTCTTGCGACAAATGGAATGAACAGCTTCTTGCACGACAACAATATTATCGATACTAAGTCGCCCTGGTATAAAGCTGGATTGAGCTGGCCCTATGAGCTTCGTTATCACCGTTTTCAGCCTCAAAACCATTACCTTCGTTATCGTCTTAAACAAAACATTGCAAAGACTTATCGGTCTAAACTGAGTAATTGTTTCTGGCTTAACAACTTTCGGAATCAACACCACAAGAGCGTCATTCAAACCAGGAGAAAGCTCACTTGTTTCAAAAAATCTCAACACAAACCGAACAACAGATTCGCCCACTGTATCCCAACATTTTTGGTAAAAGAGAGGTTGGTAGCCATCGGGACCCGGTTCTTTAAAAGCTCCCATGCTACAAACCGCTTCCTCAACTTCCTTCTTCAACACCGGCTTGTTTAAAACTCTCTGTTCTGCCATGGAAAGCCTATAGAAACCTTCCCTTGTTAAACCTGCCACTATTGGATCCACGTCATCGAGAGAGTAAAGCCGTTTGTAATAAGCAAGAGCTATTTCCTCTAACTCCACGGGACTAGTCACCCAAGCTCCCGAATCATTTTGCAACATGTCGATTATATTCTTTCGCCTACGAATTATAGTGGAGGTGTGAAAGAAGCTCGTATTTCGATCTCCGAGAGCAAACAATTTCTCCCGCGACTTTTGAAACCACAATGGTTCCTCTTGCTCTAGAACTTTATCTAATTCATTAAGTAGCATACACTCCTTCGACAGAAGCTCACCCGTCGTGATTGAATCCAACATATCTTGCACCAACTTGATCTCTGCCATTAATTTCTCTTTTCGTTTGGAGATGTTTCCAAACACCTCTCTATTCCATTTCTGTAGCGTTCCACGCAAAACCAACAAAGCTTCCGGTGTAGCCATATCATGACGCCAAGAAGAGTGTAGTAGCTCCTTAAAGCTATGGTGCGTAAGCCAAGCAGCCTTAAATCTAAATGGTCTGCGACTCGGATTACGGCTCACCATCGGATTCAACTGCAAGTAAAGCGAGGCATGATCAGAAGCCAAGAACGGTAGATGTGTGACGGAAGCATCCTGCCAGCGAATCACTTGATAAACTACATTACCGCCTGTACTTTCATCCAACCTCACAATAATATTAAAGTCCCCTCCCACAAAAAACATACCATCAATACCTTGTATAACCTCATGAAGCTGCCCCCAGAGCCCACTCCTACGACTCACAGACGGCGCGACATATACCATAATTAAATGTATCGAGTCCACACCATTTTCCACCCGAGCACAAATGAACTGGTCTGAAAACTCCACAATAACAACATTCCCAACACTCGACCTCCATAGCAGCCACAAACCCCCGCTCTGACCGTCAGCATCTACTCGAAAGGATTTGTCAAATCCAAGACCTTGACTAATTTTCATCGCCGTATCACCCCCTGCATGAGTTTCGAAGATAGCATGAACATCTGTACTAAACTTCTTTAGCATATAGCGGATGGAACGTCAAAAATTAGGTTTATTTGCCCCCCGGCAGTTCCATAATAGACAATTCATAACTTCTTTAAGGTGATAAAGAACCCCCGGGGAAAACCGTTAAGCTTGAACACCACCCGTCTCCTTCCCAAACGAGTCGCTTAAGTTCACTATCTCAGGAATGTCCACCAAGATCTCAGTCCCATGCCAAACCTTCTCTGACTCGTCCATTCTCGAACTCAGAATAGACCGACATGCTCCCTGCTCACCCCCATTCAACATAAAAGCTCCGCCTGGCCGACCCATACTTGTCGTCTCAACTCTAAGTCGCTTGCCAGAAACCAATGATGGATTCTCATTCGTGATGGGGCCAAATATTAGTCCCCTAACGGGCCGGCCTTGTTTGTTTGTTTTAGCTGTATCCGCATAAGCTGTCTCCTTGTTCTGTTGGGCCTTTCGAACTCTAGGCCCATCTCGTGAACCTCCCATCCCAGTTTCGGCCCTAGTTGATTTCCTCACCTCGGTAACTTGCGCCACACTCTTCTCTCTCCTTGCTTGAAAGCAAACCGCATTTTCCTTATTAGTCATCGATCGTATATTCTCATCCCTTTGCTCTGGAGCCGTATCAATATCTTCCAAATTCTCGAATTGGTTAGATATGTCAACATTTCCTAAATTTGATGGCGGAATCTCCCGAAGATTACGCCCGGCCTCCTGGTCAACTCTTACCGGCGTATTAGGTTTAGAGGATTGAACCGACCCTCTGCTCCTCCGTCGCACCTCCGTAAAACCATCCGCCGCCTGTGTTAGCCTGCGGCAATTCCATCTCCCTTGGAGCCGTTAGAACTACCTCTTTTTCCAGAGCACGTCGCGGACACGAATGAACGAGATGACCATAAACTCCACATCCCGAACAAATTGAATTGAGGCCTTCATAGGAAACAAAGTACCGATCTCCATTAATCATTATTGCCCCCTTTAATGGCTTCCTTAGATCCACCTCCACACATATTCTGGCAAATCTAGCACACTCAATGTTCATCGTATTCAAGTCCACCTTAAGCGGTCTCCCCAAACCTTGAGCCATCCCCATCAAGATCATTTTATGATAAAAGATCACTGGAATATTAGACACTCGAACCAAAACAGGCGTGGTCATAATCTCATGACGAACTGGATCAAACTCCGGAGACCATGCACACACCATCAAATAACTACCAAACATTCTCCACGGACCACCTGTTAAAGCTTCCAGATATTCTTCCTCATGCTCAAAACGCGCCATGAAGAACTGCCTTGGCAAGTCCAACACATGCATTGCCCCCTTAGGCTTCCACATCTCCTTCAACCTTCGACTCATCGCGGCAATGGAGATGTTCTTGCCGAGAACTTTCACAATCATACACTATTTCCAAAGGCCACTCATAACCGCACCAACCTCCTCTCCCACTGTGAACACCGGTTCCCCATCCTCTCCATCCGGAAACTCAAGACTCAACCTCGCCTCCACAAACTCCTCCTTTAACACCGATTCTGGAACGACCCTCCCACCTGCACTACCACCAGCTGCCCTCTGCGCCCACGTCCCCACAGAGTCAGGTGGATCTCCTGGTGGGTGTTCCTTCTCCCCAATAACCATCATCGTTGCATCCCGTACCGTCGCTCTCAAATCGCCTTCATTCTCCATTAGGTCTAGGAACGTAATAATTTTAAAAAATATATGATTCATTGTAATTGACTATACTACAATAAAATAAAGTGAAAATTAACTAGATTGACCCAAATATGGGTAAAAATAACTCAATTGACATCCTAAAATATCACATTACTAGTTTGACATAATATTTGTGTAGAAAGACCAAAAACCCAATTATTTTTTGTTAACAAAGTTTTATAATCAAATTATGGTATTAAAAATGAGAATAAGAAATTAAATAATAAAAAGAAAAACAAAACATCGACGCTTTCGTGTTTTCCCTTCTCTTAAGCCAAACAAAGCGATCAACCCTAATGTTTTCCTCTTTTCTTCAATTACTCAATGACTGAGATTCATGCGCTAGACTACAATCAGTGATTCACTTCCATCTGACTTGGTCTCTTGACTATTCGGGTTCGATTCTCTGGGGAGAAGGCTCTTCCCCCTTCTTGTAAGTCGCTTCGTTTCTTCACATCTCTAGCAGCAGCGTAATCGACATTGGGTCTCTGACAATCTCCTCCACTCCGTAAGCTTCTGTCTTAATCGGAAATCTTATGGTTCGCGCCAATTGGCTCTAGAAACAGCGTAATCTGAATTGTTGATACGTCTGGTACCTTCTCTTGTAATCTCCCATGGTCGACAGCTTCCTTCATTGGTGACATCTTTCAACATTGTAAGGTAAGTTTAAATTCTAACCGACTTTAATTTTCAATTTCTAGATTTTTGATAAACAATTTTAATTCTTTTTGTTTCTATTCTTGTTTGTGATTAGCACATATGAACGATTCATTATTCTGTTACCAGTTTCATTGGATTTCTTGTTGGATTTTTTAGAAATTTTTTTTGCAAATACAGTTTGACCTATGATTGTATTGTTGCCTTGACTAATATATTGGCAGTTTTTAAATTGATTTTTAGGTGACAGATCGTGTTCCACAATAGCTAAGGTGAACAATTAAAACTATTGGTGGTGTGATTCTACATATTTTGGTAAGGATTTTTTCCAAGTTAATTATTTTTTTATAAAAACTAAATTCCGCCAACGTCATTGTGAATGACAGATTTACAATTGTGTTTTGCTTCTTAAATTGAAATCTAATGGCTGTCACATTGATTTTCTATTGTTTAGGAATGGCGTCTTCAAGCAAAAAATATCCTACTCGTCTTTATGAGGAAGGGAAATCACCTCTTCAAGATAGGAGCATGCATGAACCACTACTGTTTTTCTCAAAAATTGGTCTTATAAAAGAGGGATTAGGATTAGACGTGTGGGATAAGTTGAAGAATTCATCGCTTGGAGTGTTTATAAAGTTAGCTGAATTGGAGTACACATGGTCTGCTAACAGAGTTCATTTCTTCCTCACACATCAGCTTGCCATCAACAACATTCATGAGGTTTGGTCTTTGATTGATGGTAGACCTATCAGATTCTCTTTAAACGAGTTTTCAGATATTAGACGGTTAAATTGTGACCCTTTTGACGTGTCTGAGAACTTTGATGGTGATCACCATGAGTTTTGGAAAGAGATGAAAATAGGAACAACTACAGAAGGTCCAATGTTTAATGAGATGTTAAATGTTATTGATTTTAGTAAGGCATCGTCGCTTGAGAAGAGGTTGATGGTTGGTAGGTTATGCCTATTATTGGTATGTGTACATGGAATTCATTCTCAATCTAGAATCCCGTTGTCAACCGCTAAAAGAGTTTTAGATCCAGTAGCTTTTGAGAAATATCCTTGGGGTCGAGTGGCTTTTACTTGTCTTATGAATTCTATTAAGGTTGTCAACCTTGAGAAAGCTTCATACACAATACATGGTTGTGTTCATGCTTTGTTGATTTGGGTTTATGAAAGTGTTCATGGAATTGGAGAACTTTATGGGGGAGAGAAGGACAGAAATGATAGGTGCTCCACTACTTGATTGGCGATCTTCACGGAAAAATATAGTTTTCCAAAACTTCATTAAAAAGAGAAGGAGAATCATGGAAAAGTAAGTGTTAGTGTTTTTTTTATAAATAGTTAAATGGGAACTAATATCTTCAATTGTTGGTTGTAGGTACGTGTAAGGCATATGGTTCTTGTTTCAGAGGAAACCATGTACCCTCAATGGTGTGACACAGCTGAGAACACGGATCCAGACCTAGATGAGTTGATTAAAGATATCATTAATAACCGTTTATCTTTAGATGCTTGGGAGTGTGCCAAAATGGGTGATGTGTATTTGAAAAAGAGAAAAAGAAAGGTAGCAGATAAGGAGAATGAAAATTGTAGAAGCAGTCCTAGGAAGAAGAGAATGAACGTGACTCATTCAGAAAAAGATGAAGGAACAAATGTCATCAATAAGACGGATATGATTCGCGAAGAACATATGGATGTAAGGTTTCCCTTAATTATTATATTCAACATTGTTTCTTTTAAAAGTATATATATTTTAACATAAAAAGTATTGTAGGATGCTGAACAAGAGAAGAAAAGCATGTTGGATATTTAGAGAGCAATAGAAAAAGTGAATGGGACTATCTCTGAATTGGGCAAGTCTTTAAGCAGTCGACTAGATGAGCTTGAGAGTAAATTTGAAACTGTTGTTGAAAAAACGAGTGAGAGGATTAAAATAGTTGAGACAGAGTTGAAAGATCTGAAAGAGGCAAAACCAACTGATGCACCAGATGATGCCATTTCGATTCATGATGAAGATGATGAGGGAAATAGTAAACAACCTGTAAGTTAAATTCTTTCTTCTCAAGACTTATAGTTACATTACTATCGCTTATGAGGTTTTTTTATTTTGTTTTTTCTGTTTGCTTCAAGTCTTGGATGGTTGAGATGCAGCAGACCTTACATGATGAATTTCCATCTCAAAGGGTGGTTAAAAAGGTTTACACCGTCAAGAATGAGAAGAAAACATCAAGTGAGATTTCTGGTTGTCTTCCTCTCTTTGAAAGTCCCAATAAAATGAAGAACAAGAAAAATAAGTTTGATGTTTGCAAGGATGTTGAAGATATTACATACCAATTTAATAAGGCTAAGACGACAATGGCAACAAGTGAAGACACATGGTCTAACGAGGAAGAGGCTTTGGCTGCTAAAAATATGGACGCCACTTTGAGTACCCTTAAAGATCTGATAGACAAGTTGGATGGACCTCTGAATCATCCAAGACGAGTGCCACAATTGTCTAAGTCGCAGAAGTTTCCTTATGTTGGTAACTCGACGGTGAAGCGTATAATTAAAGAGAGTGATAATGTGGCATGTGATCATCTTAAGCATGTGCCTGACAAAAAATTTCATAGACTTATGGATTTTCTCGACCTCGATAAGTATGATTCTACAACTATACTTTTTTTTGTAATCGTCTACCTATTTATGTACTGATTATTTATTGACAGGGAAGAAAGACATAGCACTAGCAACGTAGCTGTGAGATTTTATTGGCAAATCATGGCTAAGAGAGAGCATTGGCCACACTCAGAGTATGGATGGCTAAAAGACTATGTAAGTAATTCACAATATTTTGGTCTGATTTATTCAAAAATAGAAGTTAATATGCTCATTAGCTCATGTCATTTGTAGCACATAAGTGCTACAATGTCTATGTTCAGGAGAAGGTCTATGCTTAATCCTTGTCCGTATCCTAAAGAGCGTATAGCATTCATAGATCAAGACTTTCTCAGGACTTTGGTGAATGATTTCAAGCAGTTCGATATGGCTCCAAAAAATTTCTTGTTTAATAACTCTTGTTTGGAGCACGTAAATGGTACAGCCCCAACTGAGACAGCGACAAAAAAGGTATGGTGGATTGATGTTGATCACTTGTATGGTTGTCTGTCTGTCAATGGAAACCATTGGGTGGCTCTGCTTATTGACTTACTGCAGGGGAAGATTAATGTCTATGATAGCATCCCAAGCATGGTGAGTGACAGTAATATGACTCTTGAGTGTTTGTCTCTCAGGCAAATGATCCCAGCATTGTTAAACGTTGCTATTCCTGAGAAACATCGTAAGAATAGTAGACAAATGTTGGAAGTGAGTAGAGTGAAGAGGAATGTCCCTTTGAATGAAAATCCTGGTGATTGTGGTATGTACTCTCTAAAGTACATTGAATGTTTAGTTCTTAATAAAACATTCGTTGGGGTTTGCGACGAGAACATGGCGTCTCTCCGGATAAAGCTTGCAGTGGAGTTATATGACGAAGTGAGAGACCTAGCCATAACACCGCAAATGTTTGATGGATATCCTCGAGCTAAAGACCTTGTAATCCCACACCTTGATGATTCGTAGTTGTTTATTTTTCATTTCTTTTGTTTATATGGATTCCAGAATATATGGTATGTAGGCTTACTTTTTTTTGGACATGATAGAGTCTTTGCTGGATTCAACGCTTCTATCTGATCAAATGTAGTTTGAAAATCCACTAGCCTGAAAGCATATGCCGCCTTTTTAACCAAACCAAATGCATCTTTACCTTTGAAACGGACCAAAATATTCTTGTACAGATGGTATGTGCATATTCCTTTACTAGACTTCGGATAAACCATCTTAATTGCTTTTCCAATCGACTGGTGCCTATCAGAAATAATAGCAAGGCTCTCGTCGTCGGGTATCACACAACTGAGCTGCCTGAAAAACCATTCTCAGGATTCATCATTCTCTGTATCAACCATAGCAATTGCAATTGGAAAAATCTGAAAATTGCCATCTTGAGCTGTTGCTGTAAGCAGTGTCCCTTTGTATTTTCCCTGTAAAAAGGTACCATCAACGACGACAACTTTTCTCATGTATGGAAATCCATTTATGCTTGCACCAAAAGCAATAAACAAGTACTTAAATCTTTGATCCTCATCAACTTCAAGTCGTGTATAAGTTCCGGGATTCGCTCTCCTTATCATGTACAAATACGTAGGTAACTGCTCATAACCACTCTCTGGACTACCCCTGATCAATCGTCGAGCATGCCTTAGCGTTCGAAATGCTTTTCAATACACCATCTATCCAAACACAAATATTGCGGATTATGTTTTTTTTTAAAGGGTGTAAAAAATAAGTTAATGATATCATAAAATATACCTTGATTTTAAAGCGTTTATTCAAAGCTTCAGCAACGTGAATTGGTAATACCTTGGGACCAACTCCACCAACAAAATCTTTATACAAGACTCCGAGTATTTGATGAGTTGCTTGTCGAGCGCGTGCAGAACGATATGTTACTGAGCAAGTATGTTCTGAGATAAAAACACGCACATGAAACTTTGGATAATCACTTTGTGTTGTAGCTCTTACCCTCCACGTGCATCCTTTTACCCAACACTTGACAATCAGTAGATAAGGTGTTGATATGGAAACAAAAAAATCAAACCTTTGTACCACGGTTAGTATCTTCGGCCGTGTTACCAAGTGCTCTTTCGTATCAAAACATTGTCCAACAGCCAAATTAACTGAAGACAAATCTAACTTTGCGACGGTATTATCTTCTTTGTTTTCTTCAAACAAAAAACTTGAACTCCTCTTCTTGATTGGTAATTTCTGATTTTCTTCTTCTTCACGAGGAACTCCGTACAAGCTAAAATTTTCATCATCAAAGTCCGTTCCATCAGAATCATCACAATAATCAAATCTGCTATCATCTTCGTCGATCTCTTCATACACCTTCTCCTTGGCTAACTCAACTTGATCTTCAACCAAGTCAGTCTCGTTGAACGCTCGTTCTTTTCCCTTTTGATGCGACTCAACATGTAATTTCTTCTTCACTTCAACGCAAAGTCTAAGTGTTTCCCTTTCTAATTGACCCAAAAAAACGTTAAACTGTCTAGAATTCCCAATGATGACTGGTGGTGTATCACCCGGTAAATTCTGAGATACCATCTTCGAAATTTTGTAACTCAACACAACATCAAACAATCTGTTATCCAACCCATAATCCTCACAAACCACACCAATGCAATCATCATAACTTGTTTGACAATTATATTCTAGGATTCGAGATCCCCTTTTATTATCAACAGCAAACAACTATTTATTGTCATCAAAGAACCAATTACCACAAACAAGGATCACTTGCTTCGTATCCAAATCAGCCCCTTTGGATCGTCACATTCTTACACCAATATAACCCAAATCCTGAAAGAGAAAAATAAGAAAATAAGTAAGATAACCTTGTAATCGAAAAACAAGATTGTTTTGTATGAAAATCAATGAATATAGAAGAAAACACATGGTCTGCTATAATAACGTAGAAGAAGAAGGAAATTTTTTTTGTTAAGCATTAATACCTTAACTGTAATCGAACAAGAAGGAAGAAAAAGGATTTGATTAAGAAGGAAATACGTGATTAAGTAGTTGATTAAACCTAAGAAGGAAAAAAAACTCTAGTCACGATGGAGAGAGGAGGAAGAGAGGCAAATGATAAGAAGCCGTAACTTCAAAAAAACCCTAACATATTTCCTTTAACTAACCCTTTAATTGGTCAAATTTTCACGTATTCCCCAAAAAATTTGTCGCCACACACCTTATAAAAATCTGTCGCTAAGCATAAGTAAAGAATCTGTCGCCACACACCAAAAAATCTGTCGCCACACACCAAAAAATAGCTGTCAATATGTTATATAAAAATCTGTCATAGTAAATAACAAATCCCTCACAAACTAATTTTAAAGAAAAATAAACAACAGCTCTCTTGCTACACGGAAAAATAAAAACTGTCGCTACAGATTTATATAAATCTGTTATAACCCAACAAAAACTCTGTCATTACATGTTACAATTATGTCGTCACATAAACAAATATTAAAAAGAAGAAAAAAAAAACTGTCACAAGAAAAATTAATCTGTCATAACACACATAGGTCATTCTAGCAATTTTTAACTACTTTTAACAAATCTGTTATCAAGTGACAATTTTTAAGTAAAATTTTAAAATATGTCATAACCTTATACAAATCTGTCATCACTATACGCCAAACTAGTAATTAATTTTTTGTTAACAAGTCTGTCAGTACACGACATGTTTTTTTTTTGGGAAAAAATCTGCAACAACTAACAAAATAAATCTGTCAGATATTTTCATAAAACTGTCATACATTACAAAAATCTGTCGTATATAATATAAATCTGTCGTCTATTCCTTTAAAAATCTGTCATACAAAAAAATATGTCACTCATATTAAATATGTCGTAACTATTTAGAAACAAATCTGTCATTCAAAATAAATCTGTCATCCTACAATTAATTTTTCGTACAAAAAAACTCTGTCACGATATTAACGACAGACTTTATAAAATATTTTCAATTTTTCGAAAATTCCCTGGTTATTTTGAGAGTGGTAATTTTGACTTTTTTTCCTATCAAAGCAAAAAAGGGTATTTTCGGTACAAAAAGTACCCATCTAACCCAAATATTTTATAAGTAAATCTAGTAATTAATCGCTTCATTTGGGTCAATTTAGTTTTTTTCTCTAAAATAAAAGTGGGGAAAAACCTAAAAGTTCACCATCTATTATTTTTTTGGAAGTTTAATAGATGAACTTTGTAAAATGAAATAAAAAACTTTGGTTCATAAGATTCTACATAAGTGTGCCAAGAATCAAAAAAATGTCGACAAAGAAAAGATAAAGATACTGCGTAGTGGGTATGTGTAACCTTCAGTATAATTGATTAAATTTGATGATTCGTTTTCTGTAGATCCGAATAAAGTTGAGGATTTTAATAAGATATGTTTATTTCTTAACCTCTAGTGTTCTTTTGAAAAAAAAAAAAAAAGCCAACACAGCTACTGCGACAACTGTGCAGCGAGACAAAAAAAAAAATAATTAACAAATTGTTTCCTCTCTATCTCTATCTCTCTTCTTCTCGGTTTCTCCGTAAGATTAGTCTCTATGTTCTGCAATTAAGCACCGGAGAGTTCTGCAAGTAAGGTTAGTCTCTATGTTCTGTTTCTTTTCCTCAAATAATCTCATTACCGAACATGGAAACGATATAAACCTAGGTCTTGTAAATGCATTCTTAATTGTGTGTTTTTCTAGTTAAAAAACAAAATTCGATCTTGATTATAATCTAGTAATTGATGTGGTTTAGGTTTTAGTGGAACTGGATTAGAAGTGAACCTCTTATGTTCTGTTCCGCAAGTGGTTTGTTTTGTCGGAATATTAATGAAATGTCACATATTGATTTGTGGTTCTGTACCATTTTGACTTTTTCCAAGCAGAGAATAAGCTATGGATGTTGAGCAGAAGAAACCTTTGATTGGATCACATGATCGTAACCTTCCTGATTTCAAAAAATCAGTGAAGCTTAAGTATGTGAAGCTTGGTTACCATTACCTTATCACACATGGCATGTACCTCTTCCTCTCCCCTTTGGTACTTGTAATCGCAGCGCAGATTTCGACTTTTTCACTCAGCGATCTTCGTAACTTATGGGAACATCTTCAGTACAATCTTATCTCAGTGGTTGTTTGTTCCATGCTCCTTGTGTTTTTAATGACTATTTACTTCATGACTCGGCCACGTCCTGTCTACTTGGTTGACTTCTCCTGTTTCAAGCCTGATGATTCTCGTAAATGCACTAAAAAGATCTTTATGGACCGTTCTAAACTCACTGGTTCTTTCACAGAGGAGAATCTTGAGTTCCAGCGCAAGATTTTACAACGTTCGGGACTTGGTGAGTCTACTTATTTACCTGAGGCTGTCCTTAATGTTCCACCGAATCCGTGTATGAAAGAAGCGCGAAAAGAGGCCGAGACTGTGATGTTTGGAGCCATTGATGAGCTTCTTGCTAAGACTAATGTGAATCCTAAGGATATTGGGATATTGATTGTTAACTGTAGTTTGTTTAACCCGACACCTTCGTTATCGGCTATGGTTGTGAATCACTATAAGCTCCGTGGGAACATACTTAGTTACAACTTGGGAGGAATGGGTTGCAGTGCTGGTTTGATCTCGATCGATTTGGCTAAACATCTTCTTCATAGCATTCCCAATACTTATGCCATGGTGATTAGTATGGAGAATATTACATTGAACTGGTATTTTGGGAATGACCGGTCAAAGCTTGTTTCTAATTGTCTTTTTAGAATGGGAGGTGCAGCGATTCTTCTCTCGAACAAACGATGGGACAGAAGAAGATCGAAATATGAGCTTGTTGATACGGTTAGAACCCATAAAGGAGCTGATGATAAGTGTTTTGGCTGCATAACTCAAGAAGAGGATTCCACAAGTAAGGTTGGTGTAACACTCTCCAAAGAACTAATGGCTGTTGCGGGTGATGCTCTAAAGACAAACATCACGACGTTAGGACCACTGGTTTTGCCTACATCTGAACAGCTTCTGTTCTTTGCAACATTAGTTGGAAGAAAACTCTTCAAGATGAAGATCAAGCCTTACATCCCAGATTTCAAACTAGCATTTGAACATTTCTGCATCCATGCGGGAGGAAGAGCTGTTCTTGATGAATTGGAGAAGAACTTGAAACTCACAGATTGGCACATGGAACCGTCGAGAATGACACTTTACCGTTTTGGTAACACATCCAGCAGTTCTTTGTGGTATGAGTTAGCATATAGTGAGGCTAAAGGAAGGATCAAGAAAGGTGATAGAATTTGGCAGATAGCTTTTGGTTCAGGGTTCAAGTGCAACAGCTCGGTTTGGAGAGCGGTAAGGTCGGTAAATCCTAAAAAGGAGAAGAACCCATGGATGGATGAGATCCATGAGTTCCCAGTTGATGTCCCCAAGGTATCCCCAATCTAGAAACCACATCCAACAGTGGCAATTTTTCAGAAGATGTTCTCTTGAGTTTTAAGCTTTTGATACTGTCTCTTCAAAATTAATTTCCATGGTTCTCTATTGGTTATCTGAAACACCAAACTGGTTAAACATTTTTTCTTCTTTTTAGTGGAAAAACATGTTGGTGGACAGCAGCAGACCGGCAATGGTCGGTCCAACTTGTGTTTTTGGTTGTTGTGTCTGCAATTTTGCATGTATATGTCCTTGAAGGCTTGAAGCATTCTTTATTGAGGGTGTTTCATTTTTTGAAAAATTTGTTAAAAACAAAAGTTATCAACTTGTCATTAATAACAAAATGTGATAGAATTTGGCAGATTACACCTATGGGCGTTTAGAGTCGGATGCAAAGATGAGATGATCTCCATCTCTAATAACATCTACATCATCAATCTCTGCCTTGTTGTCTTTGCTCATAACCTTGGTAGCAACAATACCAAACTTGTTGGAACCCAATTCTAGCAATTCCTGGAAACTAGTAGGAAGCAGCACAAGCTTCCCGGCTACCTCATCTTTCTCGGCACAACTAATCGTCACTCTCACTGGGTTTCCAGTTCTGCTTTCATGTACTGTAGCTAGCCCGTTCTTGGCTACACTTTGGTTAGCTAATACCCCAAACAACGAGTTGTCGAAATTATTATTTTTCCGTCTTGCCCTTGTTTCCCGGATCCTGAAAGACACTTCTCTTGATGCAGGACGGATATTGGGTTCACTAGTGAATCTCCCGAGCCGTCGATTCCCATTTTTGAGTATAGGAACCGAAGAACTTGTCTCGATATACACCCTCCTCTCATGTAACCTCTCTCTAAATAAAGCTTTAATATCCTCATGCCCTTGTTGCTCAGCAAGATCTCTTGCTGTCCAACCATGCATATCCTGTTTGTTAACGTCTGCACCTTGCTCAAGAAGATACTTTACCATCTCAATGTTCTCTTCGCACACAGCGGTATGGAGTGCAGAGGTGCCTGTGGCTCTGGGACGAGTAACGTCTCCACCATGTAGAACAATTTCTTTTAGTAGTTTCAAGTTGCCTTGTTCAGCCGCGGTGCAAGCAAAATGACCCACATCCCCTGCGTCTATGGTACTGCCATGTTCTAATAGTAACTTTACAACTTTCTCATGTCCTTCCACCATTGCTTCCCACAGTGGTACACTCCCTTCCGCGTCTGCATTAACATTTGGGAGAAACCATGAAGCTCAATAGTTCAGAAATACTGAGGGAAGTATCTAAGTTGTACAAGCAAGTACCTCTACAATTGGGGTCTGCATTGAACTCCAACAGAAGAAGAACACAATTCAGACTTCCTTTTGATGCTGCTATATGCTGTTTCCAGAAGAAAAGAAAGAGAGATGTAAGTTGTAGTCTCCAAGAGCTTGGATGAGAAGAAAAATAAAAGAATAAGTATGCCAATTTCACTCACCAGAGGTGTTCTACCATTGTTATCTGATTCATTAGGATCAAGTCCTCTCTTAAGTAGCTGATGCAATAGCAAATCGTCTTCTCTTATTGCAGCAAAGCATAAATTGAGAGGAAGATCCATTTTACCCCGAGCAAGCATGTTTTCTGTCTCCATCAGAACATTCAACATCACAGGATCATTCATGTCCTTCAAATGCTGCTCTCCCCCAAAGAAAGAGAGTGAGACAAGTCAGTAAGTAAATTGCTCATAGATGGTTTTCTTATTTCAATTAATGAAAAGCTCAAGAAGTTCTGTTTACTAACCTGAAGTAAATTATTCATGATTATGGTACCATCTCCAACATTAGCCTGAATAATATTCAAGAACGTTGTACGATTCATACGCAACAGTTGGCACAACCGCTTTGTCCTCACAGTAAACAGTTGTGGTCTGTAACATAACACCCCTATCTCCCCTATAATGTCTCCAGCTTTAACCTCTTTCACAACCTGAAATCATCCAATAAACTTCTCATTGTTAATACTTAGTTACATTGTAACTCCAAGTTCAGAGGTTTGGAGACTAAAGGGAGTAAATATAAAATGAGAAACATGTGACGTGACTTACAGTTTCTGTTGAACTATCTACATCCATTAAGTCCTGCATCATAACAGATATGTAAGTTAGTCTCGCATTTATTTTATTTATGTCAACTTAACAAAACTGTAGAGGAACGTTTTTATTACCGCGGTACCATTCACAAGAATATAGAAGTCTGTTGGCGCTTCGTTCTGCAAGATCACATCTTCTTTTGGTGGGAAGTACTCAGCTTTCATTTCTGAGACCTGAAAAATGTACAGAGCAATAGAAACTTCATTTTTGTATCGAAAATGAAGGACGAATGATGTTTCTCTTCATATGCATTTTTATCGGCGTGTATATACCAGTTGAAAAAGCAGGTCATTGGATACGCCGCGAAAGAGGTAGACTTTATCCATGAGGGAGTAGAAAAGAAAGTGTGATATACTTGATCTAATGGCTTTTGGGAGTGCATCAAGAGTTTCTTGTTGTTGTAGCCCCTCAGAGTCAGTCCGATATTTCAAACATAAATGTGCTAGCATTTGATCTTGTAGACGAACTGGTAAATGGTTTCGATGAGCAAAATTTGAAGCAGCTTGGATTGTATCTCTCTGAAAAACCAAAAATAAATAAATTCTGAGTGTCTTTGTTAAATCATAGATTGAATAAGGTAGGTAGTGAAGATCTTGGCTTACGAAATTTCTAGTCCGGCTTGTTCCATGGACTACCAAATTGGTCATGTTACCAATCAAGTATGCAGTTAATCCAAGGTTGAAGAGCATATAGAAAATGTCGAATATCATCTCCTTAGTGTTCACTGGATGCAGATCACCATAACCAACAGTGGTTAGAGTAGTGATGGACCAATACATGGAAGTCACATATCTCATCCATATGCTTTCCTCTAGGAAATTTTTGTTAGATGCTCCAATCCATGTTTGTAATGGGTCATGATTCCGCGCTGCGATAAGGTAGTAGAAACATGCAGCGCAATGAACCGCGAAAAGAGTAACCTACAAAAATACAAGTACCATAAGTTAGTATCTATACTATTACAACACTGAGAGAGTGTAGTATAGGTATATATTAAACATTTTGATGTTCTTACACAAACGAGCTTTGCACATCGGACCCAAAAGTAGTTAAAGTTGCGGTCTTTCTCGAGTCTGTTCATAATATAAACCGTCAAGATTTAGAGAAAAATGATAAAGGAAAGAAGACAAGTTTATGATTCGAACCTGGCAAACAAGGAACTGACTCTGCGAAGACGCCAAAGACGAAGCATGTTAAACAATCCATAAGACTGGGATGAGATTCTCATAGCAACCTCTGATGGGATGGTTGATACAAGGTCAAGAAGGAACCAAGAACGCAAGTACTTAAATGCAATCAGTTTACGATCATCAACAATTAGGTACGTCGACTTGTCGAGGTAACCCACAAAGAATGTCATGATGATATCCATTGCAAAGAATGCATTTACAATGTTGTCTGTGATCGAGAGTGGTGGCCTTGGCTTTCTCAAGAACCCAAACTCAAAAGGTGAAACCCAAGCAGTGTAAACCACTAGAACCACTAAGTATGCCTCCCATATCCTGTAAGAAACACTTCCATTTCAGTCTCTATTACTATAACTTTTGGAAACATGTAAATGTGATTTTGTGTTTTGGCAGAAAAATATATTTTTCGGTTTTCACAAACAAAATATAATATTTTGTTGTCAAAACAACAAAATATGATATTTTGCAAGATAATTGTAAAAATATTATTTATAATTTTGAAGATAAATAAATCAGTTGAGTCGTAAGACCACCTCCATCGGTGTAAACCGATAAGAAGTACTAAAATCACAATAAAATACTATTTTATTTACTTTAATCTATTTTTAGTTTTCTTTTATTATTTCAAGTTCTAAATTTTTGCATGTGTCTTTTTTAAGGTATAACTTCTCAAAGTTCCTTTTTCAGTACCGCTTCTTTCTTTTTAATTATTTATTTATTTTTAATATGTTTTGTGTAAAGTACTTTTTAAGAAACATCCGCTTAGACATGCTCTAGCTCTAAGAGTATATATATATATATATATATATATCATTTGTCATTTTTGGAAAAATTATCTCTATCCAAATGGTTCCGCTAAAATCATCCATATGAGTTCTAAAATTTTGCCTTAAAACTCATTCAGATGATCTTGTACAAGGCCATGTAGAACATATCCCAATAAGTCTCATTTTTTGTCAGTACTATCATATCATGTTACGTTTTGATGGCCCTGTTGAGGACACAACCAACAAATGTTTTTTTTTATCTACTTTTGGTTATAGTAATAGTTTATCAGATTTGTATATCAATCGTTGAAATCAAAATATGAGTGCCTTGAATGTTCACATTCTCTTTCTCATTTATAAGATTATCTCCAAAAGGAAAAGCCAAAAGGAAAGGCGGCTTTTAAGCTAATTAGCCAACTAGCTAGAGTAATAATGGAGGCCTTGAATATTCTACAATTGCCTTCACCATTATTAGATATACTTTTCTTGAATATTTAAGAATGATAGTGAAACTATAGGATTTGAATATTCCAAATGTTGAACAATAATGGAGCACTAGTTGTCATGTATTTCAAAAGATCCCAAAATAATTAAAAATGAGATAAATGAAGTTTTTTTTTTTTTTCAATTGTTATATCAACTAACCTACGTGAAAAACACAAATAAGAGAAACCAACTATTTCGTGTTGTTTGACCAAAATATCATTTTATATTTGAAGGTAGTTTTGCCATTTTATATGTATAGCGTGAAATTTGGACGATTATTTCATAGAGAAACGTGAAAAAAGTTTGGACAGTAACATTATTTCAAATAAAATAGTGGGATATAAAATGATTAAAATCATACTTTGTTTAAACCAACGTAAAATCGTTACTAATTGGGGAAATAATTTTTTTTTATACAAACCAAATAATTTTTTACAGAAATAATAGAAAACAGGTTGACTAATATTGTGTATATACTACATAGTACAAGTATAATACAAAAGTTGATCACCAACCACAGAAAAAAAATACAAATCATTTTTTATGTAAAAAAAAAGTCACCCACCATTAAAAAATTACATTATTTATTATGTCAAAGAAAAACACTTTATGGGTATTTCTTCAAAAAGACACAACACTTGAAAATTATAAGATATTGTTGGGATTCTTATAGAAAATGTTATTTTTGCTAAAAATTTATAAACATGTCATTTTAGTA